AGGGTCCCACAGACCAGCAGGCCTCAGAAGGCCAGCAGGCTTCAGAAGGCCAAGCAGAACAGGAGTGGCAGTCAACATTGCATGATGATATGCTTGGGCTACCTGAAGAGCATGACTGGCCATTTTCTCCAGTACCCTCCCCTTCAACTTCAAGCAGTGTGCAATTGGGTTCACTCGACCTATCAAAGGTAAATCACTTGTTAGCTTTTGTATTCTTTTTGTAGCAAAACCATTTTCTAAAATTCTTTGACAAACTGCCAAAACTAATTAACTCAAATGAAGTTCTTATCACTGAGGATTACATGAATGGGAAATGGAAAGCCCAACATCGGGGCTGGATTAAATTAATAGAACGCTCATCCTTTGCAGCTGGGTGCAGACATTCTGAATTCAAATGAGCATTTTATAACACGACATGTCAACACTTAAACACGACATTTAAACACGACATGTCAGTTAAACACCAAGGCAATACCATCTGCAGCAGATACACTGATGTTTTTATGCAGAACAAAATGAATCGCTCATTCACTGATTACATGTATGTACGCATGTAGTTGGGATTGTAACTTGTGAGACAGCCAAGTTAAAATGCGGTTAGTAGAAAAGTATATAGAGTACCGAAGTGTGACATCACTGTGAACCAGAAGTGCAGTACAAACAAATGGAGTACGCGCGCATGTTGGTTCACGCGCTGGTTCTGCCGTAATGCCTTTTACACACAGAATTGTGCGCGTGTTGTATTAACTTCGATATAAAAAAGGGGCTTTTAAGGTCAAAAGGTGCTGAAAAGGTCAAAAGGTGCTGAAATGCACAATGAAGATGTAACTTTTCTTTGCTTAAGATGAAAACTAACTTAAACCTGTACTCTTTTTTTACTTACGTGTAGCTTGATTGTAACTCATGCCCCTGCTTGAAGACTGTGGAGGAGTTAACAAAACTGGCCCTTGGAAACAGGAAGTTGCTTGAGGAAAACAACAGGCTTCTTCAGCTCCTCCTGAAGGAAAAGAGTAGTGGCGCTACTGGTATTCACACTACGAGTTCAGACTACATTCAAATCCAGGCTATACCGAACATTGAGGGTTTTCAGGCAGGTACTGAGGAGTCATTAATTTCACAAGAAAAAATCATGCAGATCTTCAACAAACGATCCTCAATTCCTAATTTTGCATTAACTTTGATAAGGGAATTATTTACAGAGTCGGAGATGATGAGATCTAACTGTAGGGGGGTCAGGGGGAAGGATACGTTAGATCCTCATAGATTGACGTTTGTCAAGGATATAGTTGAAAAGTATGTTTCCATACCCAAGCAGGAGTATGAGGTTTATTGGAGCAAAAAGTGTGTAACTGCTATTGATGAAGGATGTAGAAGGCTGTGCAGGAAGCCCAAAGGAGACATTTAGAAAGACCCAGTGAGGTACAAAAAATTCTAACTTGCAAATTAAAGTAAATACATGTACCAAACAAACATGCTTAGCTGGATTTATGAGAAAGGGGCAGGAGGGGCTTTTTATTTTCAAGATGGCCGGCATTAATTTTACAAAATCAAACTCTTGATTTTCCATTGTAAACATGAAACAGTTGTGTACACATTTCAATATTAACAAGTAAAACATGGGTACTAAGAGTACATGTATTTGGAAAATTCAGGTGTGAGAAACTGATGGGAAACAAAGTGGAAGTTCCTCAAGCTTATTGTGCTGATGAGTATTC